TTTGGGACGTTTGGAATTTGGGAAATTTAGAATTTGGAGCGTTGGGAATTTGGGAAATTTAGTATTTGGATCATTGGGAATTTGGGAAATTTAGTATTTGGAGCATTGGGAATTTGAAAATTTGCAACTATAGAGTTAAAAAATTCTAAAATATCAAATCAGAAAATTTCAGAATTTGAACAATTGAATATAGCAACCTAACAAATAATAAAAATATGCAAACTTCAATCGCAATTACTAATATCACCATCACAATTTACAATAATTAATCACTTCTCCCAATCACTATTAATCATATTTCTCCCTAATCGCGCAATAATGATGCAATATAATACGATGCATGTTTACATAATACTTCCAGCAAACGTTTCAACATATTTTCAATATTCGCACGAATTCATTAACTTCAGAGAAGTTAAAACTTGCCAGCAATGTCGCACGTGGAGTTCAAAATGTAAACATGTTTGGTGAATCGTTTTTGACCCGTAGTTTCATTTTTCGCGCGATGGAGCATTGTATAATCGAGTTTACACTGATAATTATTCGTTTATCGTTCAACGAGATATTTCGGCTCGTTATCTATATCATACATCGTTTTTATGTTTATTATCGATGATACGAATTCACTTGATTTTGTTTATTTTTTCTTTTACATCAGAAGAAAAATGGTTGTTTTTTCTGTTGAGATAAGCATGATGGAATATTTAGTTTAACTGATTGAAAAAATATTTAAATGATATTTGAGGAAATTTGTAGATTTTAATATTTGTGTTAGATCAAATTTTTATTTGAATTTTATATACATGTTTAGAGTATATATTTTTTTATCGTTGGGGTTTAGTTCTATATATAATTTTGTGTTTATCATTTTTATTCTTTGAGACTGATAAGGGAAATTATAAATTACAAATTACAAATTATAAATTATAAATTGTAAATTACAAATAAAAATTGCTAATAAATATTGCAAATAAAAATTGCAAATAAAAATTGCAAATAAAAATTGCAAATTAAAATTGTAAATAAAAATAACAAATTACAAATAAAAATTACAAGATACATATCACAAATAAAAAATTACAAACTACAAATTACAAATAAAAATTATAAACTACATATTACAAATAAAAATTAGAAATAAAAATTACAAACTACAAATTACAAATAAAAATTACAAATAAAAATTACAAATAAAAATTACAAATAAAAATTACAAATAAAAATTGCAAATAATGAAAAATTAGTTAATTACAAATAACATAAGCAGTGTAAATCATAAAAGAATATATAATTGTAAAATATAAAAAAATATCTATTATAAGAGGAAAACGCATCAAAATGCTCTTTGCTTTTATTTATCAAAGAATCGATATCGAATCCCGTCAAAAAATTCCAAACCGGTTCATTGACTTCAATTTGCATTCCAAAAATATTCGATACACTTTATCACCGATAAATCCACTTTATTTCTACAATACGCATATTAATATCTCGACTGCGTTATATTGGGCACTTTTTTCTACGACAAATTAACCTCGATGCCTAAACCTCAATCGATATCCACGTTTTGTAACATGATTAACTGTTAAGTAACGTTTATTGATTTCTTAAAATATACAGTACATCGATATTTTTAACATTAACAGAGAAACGGTTGTAAAATTAACATTATAAGAATCATTAGATAACGAAATAATTACGTTTACACAAATCTGTATGTAGAATATAACCTTCTGACGTCTTGCAATTATGGTCAGATTAACTAAAAATCGGTGTACAATGTAGATTTAATTTGAAATTAAAAATGAACGAGAAAACAAGAATTGATTCATGACAGTTATTGCATGTACCGTTGCCAACCCACGAGTTGGCGCGTGAGGTGTTTAGAAGAGCAGCAGTTTACATAGTCAACCGAATAATACTAAATTGATATAATATTTTAACTTTCTCCATCTGTTTTAGTATTGCAGCAGTGATTAGTTCTGACCGACGCGAATAAATCATGAGGCAAGGGTACCGATGCCAACCCACGAGTTGGCGCGTGAGTTGACGTGTTTAGAAGACCATCTGTTTTAGTATTGCAGC